GATAATTTTTGCATTTAGTTGGATAACCTTTCTTGGGAATAGGCATAAACGTGGATCTCTTTCAGTTGGTTGGCCAGATAGCTGTCTTCCAAATTTCTTAGCATAGATGAATGAGCACTTCCAGCGCTGCATTCGTTTGTTGAAACATCTCAACTGGTATTCCATCAATTCCTAGAGCCTTGTTTTTCGCCAATGCCTTCAGTGCAGCTTGGATTTCTTCCATATGCTACCTCCTGAAATGGTTGAACATCAGCCAGTTTTTTTTTTGGTACAGTGACTCTGTTATTTCTTCCATCTTCTTCTGATGCTTCCTGTATCATTCAATATTTTGCCCATAGAATCCTTCAATATTGCAACTTGAGGCTTGAATTTTTCTTCAGTTCTTCCAGCTTGAGAAATGCCAAGTGTGTTCTTCCCTTTTGATTTTCTAACTCCAGGTCTTTGCATATTTCATTATACTTTACTTCGTCTTCTCGAACCACCTTTTGAAATCTTCTGTTCAGCTCTTTTATTTCATAGTTTCTTCCATTTGCTTTAGCTACTCTACATTCAAGAGCAAGTTTCAGAGTCTCTTCTGACATCCATTTTGGTCTTTTCTTTCTTTTATCTTTTTAATGACCTTTTGCTTTCTTCATGTATGATGTCCTTGAGGTCCTAGTCTGGTCTTCGGTCATTAGTGTTCCATGCATCAAATCTATTCTTGAGATGGTCTCTAAATTCAGGTGGGATATACTCAAGGAATAGTATAGCTAAGATATTGGAGGTGCAGACTGTGAGGACTTAGGCCCGGAAGGTTTCTCCATGGTGGTGCACTGGTTAAGAGCTACGGCTGCTAACCAAAAGGTCAGTAGTTCGAATCCACCAGCCACTCCTTGGAAACCCTATGGGGCAGTTCTACTCAACAGCAATGGGTTTGTTTTTTGGTTTAAAGTGCTCATAGTTTTTATGGTTTTGTTTTCTAATTCGATTTCAAAAAAAAAAAAAGTTTCCTCTATTTACCCTGCTACAGAACAGATAGACTCAAGACCCATATTTTATAACTTACATAGTGCTTGCATGTATTTTGATTCTTGCTTTGGAGAGATCATTATTTTTCCTCCCTGAGTAGGGGTAGGAGCTATGTGACC